AATCGAAATTAAAATGAAACTTCTACACCCTGTATCTTCGAAACTAAGCATTTTAGGACATACATTTATACGAACTTTTTTACTTATTTTTATCTGCATTATTCTGCCGAAGTTACCGGAATACAGTTCGGACCACCCTGTATAAAAAACGATCTATCTATTGTTGATAGCAGCTAGCAGCTCTCGGTAATTGATGAATCAATCTATTTTTTTAATCAAGTCATAATCCTAGCACCCGAAATAACATATTCATACAGGAAATCAAGCCAATAAATTTTTTATCAATATAACGGTGAGGGCGGTACAATCTTTTTCATGTTAAAAATATCGCACACCGATGATACACATGATAAAATTTAAATTTATCTATTGTATCGAAGCGCTATGACATCATAGTAGAGATGCTTAGCAAACTGTTAATTAGTCACTGTTCTATACAGTGTACCAAAAGAAAAAATTGGCGCCGGGAGGCACGTATAGCCGCCCATACTAAAATATGTTAATAATCAATTATCTCAAAAATTGCGACTTTGACTGATTTTGAGGTTATTACAAATTTTGTTGCAAATATTATTCCTAATCTTAAATTGAAAACCGCGTTTCGCTAGCTACTGTAATTTTGGAGTTACGATTTTTTTAAATTTTTAACCCCTTTCCATACCCCCACCCCCACCAAAAACTAATGGCCAGATTCTCGGGTGCCACAGTATTTTTGAGCCAAATTTGGTTAAAATCGGTTTAGCGGTTTTTGAGTTATCGTGTTACAGACGGACAGACTAGCCGACAGACACCATGAAAATATTTTGTATTTAGGTCATTTATGACCCAAATAACTCATTTTGAGTGAAATTAAAAAAACTTTTTTTTGCCGATCTTAACAGCCTACCATACCTGTTGGTATGGTCGGCTAAAAATATTGTGAATTCAATTAATTTAGTCGAGAAATTAATGAAATCCGGAGACAGTAATAATACAATGTCTATATATCTATATACATTTTAAGCATTATATTATTCAGATGAAATGTGCAAATGCAATCTATTTATTTTTTTATAATAGTAGATATAGGGGGAGGGGGGGAGTCTTAAATAAGTGCAAATATTTTTTGGGCTGGTAGATATCGATAAAAGAAACATATTTTCTCTTTTCTGTTTTTCAAATAAGTCCAAAAGTACCGAGATTTTTTACTTTAAAAATAAAAAAAATTGATTTCTTGCTTACATTTTGAGAACCGCTGGACTTTTTCTGGGTTTTATTTCTTGTAAATTTAATCTACTATGTTGTCATATTATGAAGATATATTAACTAAAAATTAAAAGAATTTTTTCAAAAAATTTCAAATTTTAATTTTTTTTTCGCGAAAAAAACCTCAGACATATTTATGGGACCGAAATATACCACCCCTAAAATATTTGCTATTGCTATTTATTTAAGGCTCACCCTGTATAAAGTCGCGGTGATTAACTTCTCTCCTCCCATACAACCTACAAACTACAATAATAGCAAAAATAAAATGGCAGTTTTTCCGTTTTTCCAACTTAAGGTTGATTCCCATTGTTCCCACTATACCTTCCGTTTCCATTCCATATCCATTCCATATTCGTTCCGTATTTTTTATTGTATTGACGCTATACAAGTTTCCGTTCCGTATCAGTTCCATACTTTTTATCGTACAATTTATATCATCACGAAAGTTTTATTTTAAAAATGTCTATATTTTGAAAAAGGTAATAGATTTAATTAAGAGGTGAAAGAATGAATAAATATCAGCAAAATTTTAACAGAGCTGGTACAAATATAAGAACTTGACAACGCTGTTTCCGATAAGCTTCAGTCCATCCGCCAAAAAAATGTATGGAAGGAAAGGATATGGAACGGAAAAGAAACGGAACGGATAGTGTGCATTGTCCTATTCAATTACATGATATAATGTTTTATGTAAACGGAAGGGAAACGGAAGGGAGCTGATATGGAAAGTATAGTGAGAATCAACCTTTAAACTCCAATAAACTTAATGTATATGAGTGGATATTACTTCATGAATGTACTGATCAAAGGCAAGAGGGCACTTCTTTTACTTCCATATCAAAACATGCTAGTCATGTTCTAAATTAGTTTAAAATAGCCATTTTTGAAATTAACTTCATTGATGTGAGATGTTATATACTAGAGTTGACTTAGAAATGAAGATTCCTGTCATTTAATAAGTAAAGTCATATAAGGATATGAGGAATGTACAGATGCCCGACCCCGAGCCCGACACACTATTGCCCAACCCTGTATATATAATAAGTATATTTCATATCAATGAAACTTTTAGTTACGTAATCGAGGGCGCGATTTTTAAATTCATTGTTGCCAACATGTCAACCATGGACATATTCGGCGCCGTGCTGACTAACTGGAATTAAAATTTCGTGCTGGCGATTCAGGTGGTACCGTATGATCGAAAAAAAATGGCGTCCAGTTGGCTGGGAAATGACGATCGATGACATTTCCCATATAAAATGACAGCGATCTTCATTTCATAGCCATCGCTGACGCCGTTTTTATTCGATCATACGGTAGCTCCTAATAAAAAATGTCAAGTTGCCGCATTTATTTATTTATTTCCTGACATTGTCATTCGTTTTGACATTTTAGTTTTATATTACGAGTTTTTGGTTGAATGTTGTGATGCTTTAAGCTTGAAAATGTTTACTAGCACACCTTGCAGTCGAACATTGTTCTTTTTGGAACCTCTTTTAGTGCAAAGTGTAAAAAATATCTTAATAGCCGTAAAAAAATCATCGCAACTTTATTAGAATATTTTGAACGGGAAAGCGGTAGTAATGACCCTTTATGTTTCTTAAGTGCTGTTAAGAAGGTGAGTTTTGTTGATGTAGGTTAGAACACCCGGCTGTGGCCACTTAGATGGTTATAGCCACTTCTGCATAAAATACCAAATATTAGGTTTTTTTGGTCAATTTTGCAAATGTGCAATCACGTAGATCATAACATACAATTATTAGCAACCTCTAGGTTGAAGGTTGAACAATGGAACTATAGATGCATCATGTGTCTGTGTCTAACGGCTTTCAAAGTGCAGTGTCTGAAAATTGCTCAATTCTAAGCGAATTTGTTAAGGATCACAGTGTAAGTAAACAGGCTATATTTTGCATTTTTTAAACTTTATTGCTTCAACTTTTGAATAGGTTAAATGAAGGTGTTTAAACCTTTTAAATTCTGTATTAGGTTAGGTTTCTTCTTCTTATAATTTAAAAAAAAAATGGCCACAACTGGAATAGGATTTTTTGTCAATTTGCTAGTTATTGCCAGAACCGGCAAAGTTAAAATATATTTGTGGCCACATACTAAAAACCGTGTAAAAACCGCACCTTTTCGATGTTGCCTTTTTTAGTTAGGATAATTTCGGGAGAGAAGGCCTGTCGATTTTTGTTTAAATAAACAACGTATTTGTAGTTTTAAAAATAAGATTTATTTGAAATATGAGAATTTGACTAACCATCTCTCCCGTATAGCCATCTCCCCCGGAATTATCCTGTGGTAATTTAAACATTTTCAATGGCAAAAAAAGGTTCTTTTCAACTACTCCCAAGAAGATATGGCATCCGTGAACAAAATATAGCTGTGTCAACGGCGTGCAAACAGTTTAAAGTGCCCCGGACTTCGGTGCGAAATAGATTGTCAGGTAAAACTTCAGATAGCTGTAGAAGAGTTGGCCCAACTGCAGTACATGGGTTAGAAGTTGAAAAAAAATGATGAAGTTGATTCTTCATTAGGCGGCAAAAGGGTTTCCGAGTAATCGAGAAGGTCTTCTATATTCGGTACAAAAGCTAATAGAAGAATTTAAAATACCGACTCCCTTCAAGAATAATGTTCCTGGAGACAAGTGTTTTAAGTCTTTCCTAGTTAGAAACCCGGAAGTATCTAGGAAACTTTCGGAATACATAAACCAAGCAAGAGCGGCTGTTACGGAGACAAAAATCAGGCAATGGTTTGAAGAAGTGCGGCAGCAATTAGGTCATGACATCGAAATTCTGAACCAGCCAAATAGAATTTTTAACCTGGACAAAACAGCGATTTTATCACCTAAAGGCAATTTAGTCCTAGGGACAAGAGGGAAAGGTGTCTATGACGTTACTACTACCTCTGAGAAAGATAATGTAACAACCCTGATGGTTGCCAGCGCAAGTGGTCAATTTGGTCCTCCCTTAACACTACCTAGAGAATATTTTTGCAAGAATATTTTTGCACAAATGGTAGTAAATGTGGCCACATTTGGCACAAGGTGGCCACAAATGGGAAAAATACAAATCTTTACAATAAAAGCAGATTTTGAGAGAAAAATGTTTGGAGAAGCACCAAAAATTTTGCTTTATCTCCAAAATTAACTACAAATATTTTTTCTGATAAGTCAAACTCTAAAAATCCCTTAACCTGGCCACAACCGGTGCTTCTACCCTAAATAATAACTGTTTATATATTTATAATTAATTTATTTTTGTTTCCTAAAATATTTTCATTAAAAGAAAATATATAAAAGTGGGCAACGCTGTTCCGGTAAAGCTCAATCTCGTGACTAAAAGTTTATTTGGTCCGTTCTTGTATCATGATTTGGTATATTTGACTGTGTATCGTTGAATAAAAATTCTCACGAAAAATATTCGGCACACGGTGTATCTGACGAAATTGCCGTCCTTATCTTTCACATAACAATTAATTTACAACCTAGCGCATTTATATACCCAGTGCCTTTACTGAAACCGAACATATGTGCCTCAGTAAAAGAGGGGAGACCATAAATCTATGGGGGAGACTTACTTACCGATATATTTACTATATTCACTTTCAGGTCGATCATAACTCCGTCCTTGTTTTGTACAGTAATAAGGAGAAAGACGGACGGTGAAAGAAGTAACACTTGACCATTTGTGATCGGAACGACTAATTAAGATACGCGTGCGATCTGGAAATTTAAACAAAATAACTTGTTTAGTTTTTTCGCGCTTTTTGAATACGAAGGAACCGGCGCCAAAGGGTATTATATGCGCGTTTTTTATTATTATTGAATGTTTATTGAAGTGACGTTTTAATCAGTGATATTAATAAGTTTACGCGTAGGTTTTTTTTTAAATAATCACATAGGTAACAAAAATTATCTACTTAAAATCAAGGCAAATAAGAGGATTTATTTATTACTGGTATTTTTAATTGATTATTAAAGTGATGTTTTAATCAGTGATATTAATAAGCTTGCGAACATTTTTTAAAATAATTTTACGACATAGGTAACAAAAATTATCTTAAAATCCAGGCAAATAAGAAGATTTATTTTTGATTTGAATTTTTAATTGTTTATTGAAGTTTTATAAGAGTTATATAAGGTTTTTCCTAGAACTATTTTAAAATATCGGTTTAAAATAATGTATTAAAGGTACCATGTTTTATATGTCGTTCGTAGCTTTATATGTCGTATAGTATTCTTTGATGCAATATTCTTGGAACGTTGCCACTAGAACTAAAACATTTAAAAATCAAAATATCTGTTTTATAGCAGTTTTGCACCAAATTTATTTGACAAATTACTTTGATCCACGATTTTATTCAATTTATTTGATTCCAACAATGTCAAATGATTCGAAAAATTTTGACAAAAATATTTAAGATTTCTACACTAATTTAAAGTAATTTATTTGTATAATAAGATTATATCCAACTATCTGGAAAATAAAACAACAAAAAACAAACAGGAAGTATTCAGTTTAGTAAATATTACCAAAGTACACATATTGTTAATGTGAGCTTTTCAATAATACATTTTGAGTATACTCTTAAAATTCATCTAAGGCATCTACATGAGTCATTATAATGTTCTATTGACACATGAGAACCTTGATTACTTATTATAAAGAATAAATAATTAATACGGATATTAAAAAAATTGATAGATAGGAAATTTTTAATATTTTTTTAACATACCTAAAAAAGATATACTTTCCATATATCTTTTCAATTTCCAATTATTAAACCATAAATATTTAACAAATTCATATGAAACTAGCGTGTACCCCGTCGAATTATTTGTAATGGTGATGATAAAGCACACCAAAAATTGCCATTGACATACAAACTGGATAAAATTTTCTCACATTTATGTCAGCATGAGAAAAACAATATGGCGATATTATTATATAACTTGGTAATATTTGGTAGTTTCATCTCGTTGGAATTTAACTTTCGAAAAATCCGTTTGCCAAAAATAAGCTTTTTACGTCAAGCAGTTTAAGCAGAATCGTGGTTAATCAAATACCCAACTTTTTGGAAAACCCTGTATGATTTTTTTAAAAATTTCAAAATATGTAAAAAAACAACATAAATTATGCGTATCCAAGCGTTTTCCCGAAAGACTACCTAACCGTTTTTTAAATAACAAATATTGTAATATTTGAGGGGCGTTTTCACCCTCTTGGAATTTGAGATTTGAGAAACCCCTCCTTATCGAACCTCTACACCTCACGGTCAATCCGTTTGCCAAAAATTAGCTGTAAACGTCAAGCAGTTTAAGCAGAATCATGATTACTCAATGGTCATATTTTATGAAACACCCTGTATAAATTTTTAAAAAAATCTTAACATAATTATGTAAGACAACAAAATAAAATATACGTGTTTAAGAGTTTTTCCGAAAAAAAATATTCTAATATTTGAGGGGTGGTTTCACCCCTTTAGAATTCGAGTTTCAAAAAATCCGTTCTTATCGAACCTCTACACCCTAAAGTCAATCCGTTTTCCAAAAATCAGCATTTTACGTCAAGCGCTTTAAGCAGGATCGTGATTAATCAATGACCAGATTTTTCGAAACACCCTGTATACGTTTTTGAAAAATCTTAAAATATGTAAAAACACAAAATAAAATATACGTGTTTAAGCGTTTTTACGGAAACTTGACCGTTTTTTAAATAACAAATATTGTAATGTTTGAGGGGTGGTTTCACCCCCACGGAACTCGAATTTCGAAAAATCCCTTCTTATCGAACCTCTACACCCTAGAATCAACCTGTATGCCAAAATTGAGCTTCTTACGTTGAGTACTTACACTCTGTATACATAATTCAATTTTCTGAATTCAAAACATCACTTATATACTTAGGAAACCACATTTAACAAAAATAATTTAAAAAAATGTAGTAGTAAGTTGAGAAATTATTTTTTGCCACTTTTCGCGTTTTTGGCATCACTGTGCGACGCGGCGCCGAATATGTTCATGGTTGGCAACAATGAATTTAAAAATCGCGCCCTCGATTACGTAACTAAAAGTTTAAATGGTATCGAATATATATTTGTTATGCTGTAATCTAACCAGAATTCTAAAACTAAGTATATTTTGATTCCATTTTTATTCCACAGATTTTTTCAAAAATATTTAAATTTAATAGATAGATATTTAAAATACAATTTAGAATTTATATATAAAATAATTAAATAAAGAATATTAATTTGAATAATAGTGGTATCAAGTTTTATTCTTGATGCCGTTAATATTAAAACCTTAATGTTAATGTAAATATTCAGTTTAAATATTATTACATTCAATTTTATGAAATATACGTTCAAAGAATTAAGATTCCGTATGGTCTGCGAAAAAGTAAACGGAAAGTTGATACATCAAGATATATAAGATGATAATAGAATAGCATTATTTATATAATGTAAGTAAAGATCTAGGTATTTAATTCTCAGAACTTGGGACTTTAAAATGGCTATGGTATTAATACATGTAGCTGTCAAAAAGTAATCAAACATTCGTTCATAATCAAACGTACATTTTTTATTTCCTTAATGGAAATGTTTTCCCTATTCTTATTTGAGATAATGAAGACCCCTTTTTCCTAGAGTCCATCCTTTTTCACTCTATCTCTATACCGAGTGCATCTCAAAAGCACCTCACCCATATAACTTTTTATTTTTTCAGTTAAAAAAGCGAGATTTGGTGTGTTACTATATGACATAAACTAGGATTGATTGACGTATTCAATTGTTTTCGGTCACTTCCTGTTTCACCGGAAATGACTACAACTTTTGATTTTTAAATGGCACCATCTTTATTTTTTTACTTTATTCGATAGAAAATAACACCCTGAATAGAATGACATGTCATATGTCAACTTTTGACATTTTCGCATATGGTTTATTTGAAATTATAATTTGCGGTTCGTAACGAAAATTTTTGACTGGAAATACCAAGTGTGTGGTATCAAATTATTCGTAAAAAAATGCTTTTTCCAAATACGTTAATGAGCCACCATCGTTCCATTTGAAAAAATTGAGACATGATTAAAAATATGATTTGGGCATTTTTTAACCGGCAAGGACAAGCCACTAAAAACATTAGACGATCAAATCTATTTTTCCAAAGCTCCTTGATTAAGAATTACTGTTTTTAACATAGCCATGGCACTCTAGATTGAAATTTAAAATACAATTTGTTATTAAGCGAGAATGTCAAAAGTTGACATATGATACGTCATTCTATTCAGAACATAGTTTTCTATCGAATAAAGTAAAAATATACCGTGGGTACCATTTAAAAATCAAAAGTTGTAGTCATTTCCGGTGAAACGGGAAGTGACCAAAAACAATTGAAGGCGTCAATCAATCCTAATTTATGTCATATACTAACATACCAAATCTCGTTTTTTTATCTGAAAAAATAAAAAAGTTATAGGGGTGAGCCACTTTTGAGGCGCACCCGGTATTAGTTATTTAATTTTATAACATAGTTAACAATAAATAATATTAATAGAATAATACTATGTAGAAAAAACAAGTTTACATGTTAATGTTATTTATAAATAGTAAAAATACTCTTGATTTGAGTTTTAGTAATTCAAAATTTCTAAATTTATTACAGTATACGTCAAAAAGTTTCGAATCTTACTCGTGTAACATGCGTGTAACAGTAAGTAGCTAAACGACCAGTGTGTCCTCTACGGATAGAGCTAGTGGAGCTCTATATTCGCCCTATTTAAACCGTGTTTCGAAAATTTCCAAAAATATTCCCGGTCAAAATCGAGGGGTATATCCAGAAAATAGGCAATCTTCAAATTAAACATCTCAGAAACTTTGCATTTTTGAAACACAGATTAACACTTTTATTGTTTTTAAAATACCGTGTAAACAAGTATAAATGACGACAAAATAATAAAAACTGCCAAATAAAAAAGCTATTTAGAATTTGGTTCTACGAGTATATCTAAACTTTCTCTAAGTATATCTGCCAGTTTTCCTATATACAAGTTACGAGAATAAAACTGCTCTAAAAATATCAATATTAGTGATTACTTTTTGATTTTTTTTTATAAAAAGAATTAGTTACATAAATTAAGTAAATGCAGTGAGTAATTCTTAATACAGTACTTTTCCTTCACTCTCCCAATTTTCAAGCTACCTAACAAAACTAGTTGCCACTGGATATATAAAAGAAAAATTTTGACCTAGCTCATCATTGTTTTCCTCTCGAATCATCCAAAAAGATTTTGAAAATTTTTTGAAGGTGTAAATTTCAATTTTGAAAAACAACGGTATTTCTGCTGGTGTCATCATATTAAAACAATTGTTAGATGTGTCCTTGTGTGACACTGACTTCGAAAAAGTCTGCAATCTACAGTATGACCCTGGATTGTCTTAACAAGAGGAAAACCTTTTTTATTATTGACATTTTGAGAAAAATGCGTTCTTCATAAAATTTTGCTTGTTCTAAAATGGTTAATCCCGTTTATACTTTTTCAAATTTCCTTACCGTTTTAGAGAAAATTAAGAAAAACATGAAAATATGGTTGAATTTGTACTAAAAATTAAATTTAAAAAAAAATTCTAAATCACTGTTGCGGACCCGTGTGGACTCGACCTAACCTAACTATTTGTCCCGCCCTCAGATGACCTTAACATCGCATTAAAGAGTAGACACCGTAATAATTCATTCGAAGTTTCGAGAAGAATCGAGTTCCACTGAAATGGAGTAGTATATACGAGAACAATCGAAACCTTCTCTATGCACCTAACGATCTATGGACTATTCGAGAAATCTTTAGCTGTGGGTATAAAAACCGGCGGCTGGGGCCTAAAGAGGGCAGACATAAATAGAC